CAACCACACAGTTCAAGTCCTGGGATGGATGGCCTGAGAAACACTCTAGGGGCATGTACATGTGTGTCTAAAATCCTGCAAAAGCAGGGAGAAATAGAGAAATGGCTGTGGCATGAAAATTTTCCCTGAGGGATGATTTCTCCTCTCCCTTTCTCTGGCAAGCACACATATCCTTTTGCTTAAAAAAGAGAGAAAGAAAAATAAATGCTAGGGGTAGAATCACCATTCCTTTGATTCCCAAACTGGTATTCTTCCCTATTTCATTTTAAAAATAATAAAATTTTAATATTTTGCTGTTGATGGTGGTCCATTGAAACCTTCAAATTCTATCCCTTGTTTTCACCTTCAAATGTGCTGGGGATTAAAAAAAATTTATGGGAACAAATGGAATTAAATATAAGTTTATTGGGCCAGCAGGTGGCATGGTAGTTAAGGTAGAAATCCAGTTGGCCGATTATGCAGTTCGAATCTTGACCCAGAGGCTTGAAAATTACACTAGATTCATGTGTGTATATATCCAAATTCCTGAGGGAAATATGGAGGAGAAAGGATTGTGGCGTGGCTAACTCCCCTGGTAGGTGATTTCTTACTTTCTCTCTGTCTGGTGAGCATGCATGCCCTATACCAAAACTAGAATAAATAAATAAATAAATACAAGTTTATTTTGGTAACAAAAAAAGGAAATTCATGGACAGTTTTTTTCATAATACTCATTTTCTACAACTTTTTTTTTTGAGGACAGATAAAGTGAATATTTATTAGCTTTTAATTTTTCTGTCCTTTTTCATAATTAAAAAAAGGGTAACATTTTTGAAATGTGTATTATTGTCTCCTTTGTCAGTTATTAGGGTTTATAGGAGTGATCTGTTTTTATTTGACCATGATTTTCTCTAAAACGATCACTTGTGGTATATTCTTGGTCAAGACTGATTGTTTCTAGGAAATGTATTCTACTGGGAAATGTTTTCCTTAGAGAAATAAAAAGAAGGCAGAACTATCATTATTTTAACATCTCTGAAGTTTTCTTAGCAGTGGACTCATAAAATATTCAAGATGTAGCTCTTTTTAAGTAAAGGAAAATACAAAAAAATTTATATTTAGGTGAATGTAGTTCTTTTAATACTACAAATTTTATAAGAAAAAAAATACCAGAGTGATCCAAGAATTTATACTTGTTTGTAAAGCTTGTTTAAGATTCTTCATAGGTTTTATGAAAATTTGGAATACATACCTCTTGTTTTAAAATAATATCTAAGCCATTCTCATACTTAAGATCAGGATCAAATGTATTTCACATTTATAAAAAGGAAGTATCTCATTGTAAATGCCTGTGTGTATGTGTGTGTATACATATCCTTGCTTTGCTACAAAACAGATGTTTTATAGTCAGAGCCCATTCTACATTTAAATTTTAACACTACAGTTCTATGAATAGTTCTTCAAGTTATTTAGTTATTGCTACCTCAGCATCTTGAATACATAAAGATTTTTTTACCCAGGGGTTTCTAGTATGAACCAAAATATTCATAGAAATGTAAACATACTCTAATTTGCTTGAATTCTCAGATTAGTATAACCAAGACAGACTTTCTTTTTTTTTTTTAAGAATTATTCATTTTATTTTATTTATTATTCTTCAGTTTGACAAGAGAGAGAGAGATAGAGAGAAAGTGAGAAAGCAAGCTGACAGATCCGGGACTTGAACCAGTCACCATGTGGGAGTCCAGCACCTTAACCACCACACCACCTCCCAATGCTGACAGCCTTTCTTTGACATTATTCTAAAACTTTAAAAACTTGAAGCCAAAAAGCATTATGAAAATTTTCCTGATCCATTTAGATTATTGGATCTTTATCTGTGTGTATTCTAATGGTATGAAATTTTTAAAAATCTGTTTTGTTTTGTTTTGTTTTTGAAGAGGTTTTTGCTATAGAGCGCGTGCGCTCACCAGGCAGACAAAGAGACAGAGAGACAGAAAGCGAGAAATCACCCCCAAGCGGAGATGGCCACACCACAATCCCTTCTTCTCCATTCTCCTCTTGGGATCTTGGGCACACACGCACACGTGCCCGGCGTGAGTTTTAAGCCACCGGGTCCGGAACCTGAAATGTGGTCGACTACATGGGAGTCCACCAACATAGCCATTATGCTAACTGCTGGTCCCTAAAATCTGTTTTTTATGTCACAGTAAAAGTACATGATTTTGGAATACTAAAATACAAACATGCAAAAATAATTTAACAAAAATATGTTAATGAATATTTTCATGTAGATTATATATCAAAGAGGTGTTTTTTTTAAAATTCTGATTTATTTTTCAGTCAGGACTCTTGAGGTAGATTTTAATGCAGTAAAATTCACCCTTCATAGTTTACAATTTTGTAAGTTTGACAGATACATTTTTGAGAGCAAAATCACAATCAAGACATAAAATATTTTCATTACCCTAAAATGTTCCTTCTTGTCACCTTATGGTCACTCCTTCTTCCTCCCTCCTACCCACTGGCAAACAGTGATCTCTTCTTTCGCTGTACTCATGTCTTTTACAGAATGTCATATAGGAGGGGGGTTCAAAAAGTTCAGGGAAAAAATGGAATTAAAGTAGCAGTTAATTGGTTTTGCTTGCTTGCTCCTCCCTCCCTCCCTCTCTCCCTTCCTTATTTTCTTTTTCTTAGTGAAGGGAGAGATTAGGCAAGATTAACCACTTAAAAAAAATTGGGGGTCAGCAGGTGACATGGTGGTTAAGGTGCTGGGCTCTCACATGACTGACTGTGTTTCAAGTCCTGTACCTGGCGGCCTGCTTTGTCACTCTCTCTCTCTAGTGAGGGCATGTATGCTATAGCAGATTTTTAAAAATAAAAATAATAGAATAAAATACAAAATTCTTTTAAAAAAAATAAATCCGGAGGTATGCATGCACATCAGAGAGACAGCACCCTCCTGTTGAGGCAATGATTTGCCTTTTTCCTCCATTTTCTATCCCATCAGGATTTGGGGCATGCAAGCACATGACTCAGCTTTTTTCCAAGTCACCAGGGCCAGGTTTCCAGCTATGGCTGACCATATGGGATTTGGCTTCCTTAACCACTGCACTATAGAACTAGCATGACAAGCACCCTTCAAGCTGTCTCATGTAGTACCCTACCCTTATCCTTCTCAGCCAGTCGGAAGCATGGGCAGGGGAACATGCAGGTGCTCACATACACAGATGTCTCCAGCATACTACAGATTGCCCCAGGAACTGAACCTTAATCTTGCATATGGCTTTCGGCATTGCAGAGTGTTGTGCTACCATTGTACTGCTGTGGTTGAGCCAACCAGCTTCATTGTTTGGCATATGGATATCCAGTTTTCCCAGCCCTACTTTTTAAAAAGAATGATTTTTGGGACCAGCACGTGGAACAGTAGTTAAAACACTGGACATTCCCACATGGTCAACCATGGTTCAGCTGGTGGACTGCTGCTTTCTCACATTCTCTCCCTCCCTCTCTCTCTCTCTGACCAAATTAAAAAAAAAAAAAAAAAAAAAAAAAGGGAAACAGGAGTTTGGGTAAAGGGTA